ACCCTTGACTTCTCCTCTGTCAGGACCATTCATCCTGGGGAAGAAGGTCAGAAAGGCTCAGAACAGAGCAGGGTTGAGTCAGGTCTTGAAACATGAGTGTTGCTTATTTAGGCCAGATACCAAAATAGGAGCACCTTACTGGATGATGAGGAGTAACCAGGTGGATGAGCAGAGAGTGGGGAGGAGAGGCCTCCAGGCACAGGACACAGCATGTGCAAAGGCGTGGAGGCCTGAGACCAAGATGTGGTCCAGGAACTGTAGGTCAGTAAGTTAGTGAGGCTCGTGGGGAGCTTATAGGCCAAGATGAGCACATATCAGCCTCCAGTAAACGTCTGGGCTGTCACCCCCTACTAGGGTGTTCCCCCAGGTCAATGTCACCCAGATGGGCAGCTGGGGACAATTCAACTGCTCCTACTCCTGCTCCTTCCTCCTGGCTCCGGGGGACCCCATGTTTCCCATCATTGGGAGCCTCTTCCTGCGGGAGCTGACGAAAGAGTTTGGCACGGACCACATCTACGGGGCCGACACTTTCAATGAGATGCAGCCCCCCTCCTCGGAGCCCTCCTACCTCGCCGCGGCCACTGCTGCTGTCTATGAGGCCATGATCACAGGTACAGTGCCTAGGGGAAGTGGGAAGAGAAGCCCACGGGACCATCAGGGAGATGGGGTGGCGAAGGTCAGTGGGGATGAGAGGAGGGACTGGGAATAAGAAGACCTCACTGTGACACACAGCACTGTACAGTTTTCAAAGCACTTGTACACACACATCGTCTCATTTAAGCACACTGTGGTTGACAGTGTGAGCTCTGGAACCGAATCATCCAGGCTCAGAGCCTGGCACTGAGTTACCGCCCACCCTCTCAGTGCCTCAGTTGCTTCATCTGTAAAATGGAGCAACCTCATAGGTAGAATGATGCCTGGCCCAGAGTAAACACTAATTAAGTGTTGGCTATCAAAAATATTTTCTTTGGTTTCGACCTGGGTGCCAAGGTAGATAATGCAGGCCAGAGGTTAGAGGGTGTGCTCAATACCAGTAGGTAATGGGAACCCAGTGCTCCTTCCTGCAACTTACAGCCAAAGAACAAAGGGGGTCAGGTCAGGAATGGCTTGGTGGGAAGGTCTTTGTATCAGCCAGGCAGGAGCAGATTAGCTCAGGCTTCCTGGAGCAGCGCTACATCAAGCTGATCCTGGACCAGCAGCATCAGCATTACCTGGGAGCTGGTCAGATATGCAGATTCTTAGGCCCATGCCAGACTTGTTGAATCAGAATGTCTGGGGCTAGGGCCCAGGAATCAGTGTTGTGTTTTATCAAGCCCTCTGGGTAACTCTGATGCTCCATAAGGTTTGATAAATACTATCAAAGGAGCGCTGGTGGTGCAGTGGTTAAGTGCTGGGCTGCTAACCGAAAGGTTGGAGGTTCAAACCCACCCAGTGTCTCCACAAGAGAAAGACCTGATGATCTGCTCCAGGAAAGGAACTCCAGTAAAGAAAACCCTATGGGGCAATTCTACTCTGTAATTTAGGTTTGCTATGAGTCGGAATCAACTCGACAGCACCCTACAACAACAAAATTCTGGAGCTCCCAGCAGTGGGGAGGGGAGGATGGGGGAGGATATGTGTGATGGAATGCCCTGTTGGGGGGACGGGGGTAGGGAATGTGAATAGATGGAACAAATCCCCACGTTTTACATCTCTGTTCAGTTCTGACACTAGCTGCCCACACATGACTTCTTTCTCCGACCCCAGCCACTCGGAGCGACGTCAGCTCTCACAAGTTTAAAGGACACTACTTCAGGCTGATAGGCAGGTGCCAGCCGCAAGTTTGGCTTCTGACCTACTGGCTACAAATTCGGGGTTTTCCCCACTACCCCTTCAGAATGCCAGCAGCAAGCTCAGGAGTCACCCCTGGGCTCCCTCACTTCTGACCTGCTGGCTTCCACTACTCCTTTGGGTTTGATAATTTCCTGGAACAACTCAGAGAATTCACAGAAAGTGCTATACTTATGATTTACAGCTTTACTATAGCAGAAAAGGATACCAATGAAGAGATGCAGAGCTTCAGGTCTGAGAGGGTTCCCAGCTTCGAGCTTCCATGTGCCAAAAAGGGATGCACTACCCTCCCACGTGTCTTTCATCAACCAGGAAGCCCACGGAGCTTCCAAGTCCAGAGCTTTTATTTAGGGATCTTATTACTTAATGCAAATTCCAACCCCTCTCCCCAGTATCACTAGGTGGTCATGAGGTCTTTCTGGCATGGCCAGCCCCAACTCTAGAGTCACCTCATCACCTCATTAACCTGTTAGTTAGTTGTAGTCTGGAGTCCTTATTGAAGACACATAAATTCCAAGGTTTTTAAAAGAGATTATCTCTTAGGAACAGGGGACAAAGACCAAATTCTTTGGGTACTGTCTTAGTCATCTAGTGCTGCTCTAACAGAAATACCCCAAGTGGATGGCTTTAACAAGGAGAAGTTTATTCTCTCACAGTCCAGTAGGCTACAAGTCCAAATTCAGGGCATCTGCTCCAGGAGAAGGCTTCTCTCTGTCGGCTCTGGAGGAAGGTCCTTGTGATGCATCAGTCTTCCCTTGGTCTGGGAGCATCTCAGCGCAGGAACCTCTGGTCCAAAGGACGCGCTCTGCTCCTGGTACTGCTTTCTTGGTGGTATGAGGTTCCCACGTCTCTCTGCTTGCTTCTCTCTTTTATATCTCAAAAGAGATTGGCTTAAGACACTGTTTAACCTTGTAGACCTCATCATTATAACATCTTATTACATCATAGTGATAGAGTTTACGACACACAGGGAAATCACATCAGATTACACAATCATACGATACTGGGAATCATGACCTAGCCCAGTTGACAGATATTTTTTGGGGACAGAATTCAATCCATGACAGGTATAGTTAAATTCTAAACCCCACAGAGTGTCTTATGGTAGAAAGAACCATTTATCTTATCTGAAGAATGGAGAGAATGTTCCCTGGACTTCTCTCATCACCCTCTTTTCTCCCCCTCCTCCACAGTGGACCCTGACGCTGTATGGCTGCTCCAAGGCTGGCTCTTCCATCACCAGCCCCAGTTCTGGGGGCCTGCCCAGGTGGGGGCTGTTATGCGGGCCGTTCCCCGTGGCCGCCTCCTGATTCTCGACCTGTTTGCTGAGACCCAGCCTGTGTACATCCGCACGGCCTCCTTCCAGGGCCAGCCCTTCATCTGGTGCATGCTGCATAACTTCGGGGGCAACCACGGCCTGTTTGGGACCCTGGAGACTGTGAACCAAGGCCCTGCAGCTGCTCGCCTCTTCCCCAACTCCACTATGGTGGGCACAGGCATGGCCCCTGAGGGCATTGGCCAAAACGAAGTGGTCTATGCCCTCATGGCTGAGCTGGGCTGGCGGAAGGACCCAGTACCAGATTTGGGGGCCTGGGTGGCCAGCTTTGCTGACCGGCGGTATGGGGGCTTCCACCAGGATGCAGAGGCAGCATGGAGGCTCCTGCTCAGGAGTGTCTACAACTGCTCTGGCGAGGCCTGCGTTGGGCACAATCACAGCCCGCTGGTCAGGCGGCCATCTCTACAGATGCATACCACTGTCTGGTACAACCGATCAGATGTATTTGAGGCTTGGCGGCTTCTGCTAGCAGCTACTCCAACACTGGCTGCCAGCCCAGCCTTCCGCTATGATCTGTTGGACATCACTCGCCAGGCGGCCCAGGAGCTGGTCAGCTTGTACTATGGGGAGGTGAGGACAGCCTACCTCAACAAGGAGCTAGTTCACTTGTTGAGGGCTGGAGGTATCCTGGCTTATGAGCTTCTGCCAGCACTGGACGAGGTGCTGGCTAGTGACAGCCGCTTCCTGCTGGGCAGCTGGCTGGAGCAGGCCAGGGCAGTGGCAGTCAGTGAGGCCGAGGCCCATTTCTTTGAGCAGAACAGCCGCTACCAGCTGACCCTTTGGGGACCAGTGGGTAATATCCTAGACTACGCCAACAAGCAGCTGGCAGGACTGGTGTCTGACTACTACACGCCCCGCTGGCAGCTCTTTGTAGGGGCGTTGATTGAGAGCCTGGTTCAGGACATCCCCTTCCAACAGCGTCTGTTTGATGAGAATGTCTTCCAGCTGGAGCAGGCCTTTGTCCTCAACACGCGGAGGTATCCCACCCAACCGAAAGGCGACACTGTGGACTTGGCTAAGAGGCTCTTCCTCAAATATTACCCCCGGTGGGTGGCTGGCTCCTTGTGACAGGTTAACCACCCTTGGGTCATGTTCTCCCCAAACTCCAGGCCAGGGCAGATTCCTGGGGCCTGGAGCTGGACACGCATCACAGGAGGTCCCCAGGCCTAAGAGAAGGAACCCAAGGCCTGCTGGTAGGGTCAGGTATGGGGGAGTCTAGAGGGAAGTGAGCAGCCTTCCACCACCATTCTGGGGGTCAAAGTACTGTTTTCTATCAAATCAATAAACTGATGAATCAGTCCTGGCCTGTCAGTCAGAATGAGAAGGTCATTGCCTTGATGCCTGGGAGGACTCGAGGCTTCAGCATGGACCCAGGTGTGGGGCCAGTTCCCCCACTGCCATCACTAGCCTTGACTTCCTCAGTTTTAATACTAACCCCTGACCTTTGGATTGAGCATCCCCTTCCAAAGCAAACTCTGGAAAATACGCTTGTCCCGGTGGGACACATGCCCAGGGGACCATCCGCCCTGGGTACCACTCAGTGCCCAAATGGGGGCTCACACGTGCTTGCAAAGCGAAAGCCCCTTCTCCCTCCCTCTGACCAGCAACAAAGGCAGGTCAGGTGGGTGTTCCAAGAAGGCGCCTCATCTCTGCCTTGACCCAGAGCAGAGTAGGGAGCAGGTCTTGCAGGGGGTTCAGCCTTGAGATTGCACAACAGACACAACAAGGGACGGGGGAGGGGAGGGCGCCAGCAGGCGGGGGCGGGGTGAAGCGGGTGATATTCAGACCTTCCACTGGAGCCTGTGGCATTGGGAGTCTCCACAAGCATCTTCCCATGGACCGCACCGTGGTGCTCATCACCGGCTGCTCCTCGGGCATTGGCCTACACCTGGCACTGCGGCTGGCGTCCGACCCGTCCCAGAGTTTCAAAGGTATATGAGGAGATGGGGATGCAGAGAAGGCAGCAGCCCATGGTCCCACCAGGCCGAGGGAGGGGGAAGCAGGGAATTCAGATCCTTGACCTCTCCTGAACCTCCAGTGTATGCCACGCTGAGGGACCTGAAGGCTCAGGGCCCACTGTGGGAAGCGGCCCGGGCCCGGGGATGCCCTTCTGGCTCCCTGGAGACACTGCAGTTGGACGTGAGAGACTCAGATTCCGTGGCTGGTGCCCGGGCACGCGTGACTGAAGGCCGCGTGGACGTGCTGGGTGAGCCTCCCTGCAACATGTGCAGCAGCCTTCCCCGCTCTGTGTCCAAACCTGGATGCCCTGAAGCCTAGGGAACCTGAGGGGCTAGGCGTGGGATGAGGGCGTTGAGCGAGGCGGGTGGGCCGGGCCTCTGTTCCCACAGTGTGTAACGCAGGCCGGGGCTTGGTCGGGCCGCTGGAAGCACACGTGGCCGGTGCTGTGAGCTCTGTGTTGGACGTGAACGTGGCCGGGACGGTGCGGACCCTGCAGGCCTTCCTGCCGGACATGAAGCGGCGCCGCTCTGGGCGCGTGTTGGTGACCGGGAGCATGGGAGGTTTGATGGGTGAGTGGCCGGGGGCGCGAAAGAGGTAGAGCCTAAGACAGGGTACGCGGACCTGTAGCCAGCTCTGCAGGTGAGTCACCTGGCGTAAAGAGAAGCGTGCGCGGCCTAGGGAGACGAGTGGGGTGCTGCTGCAGCCGGCTCGCCCATCTGGGCCGCGACACGCCTCAACAACCTCATCTCCCTTCCAAGGGCTGCCCTTCAACGCCGTTTACTGCGCCAGCAAGTTCGCACTCGAAGGTTTATGCGAGAGTCTGGCGGTTCTGCTGCTGCCCTTCGGGGTCCAGTGAGTCACTGCCCCCCCCAATCCCGACCGTGGGAGCCCCAGTACCCCCTCTATTGGAGCTGTTCTCCCTGGCTCCTCCTTTCCCCACTCATATTTGTTGTATGCCAGGCACCGTGCTGGGCACGGGGCATGCATTAGCTCACTTCCCATGCCCACCTTGTTGGTGAGTATTGCTCTTGGGAAGCCCGAGGGCCAGAGAGGGTAGGTGATTGGTCCAAGGTCACACAGCTGTAAGTGGCTAGTTCGAATTCTTATGTCAGAGTCTCTTTCACACCCTCAAGTGGACGTGGGAACGCGTTTCCGGCAGGAAACCACTGTACAAACGCTCGGGTTGTGCTACGGGCCAGCTCTCCCGCCCTTATTCCCGGACCACCGCGCGGCTCGCGGCTCCGCATCCGGCCAGCGTGGAGCCCGCGCCCACTCGCCTTTCTCGGCCCGCAGCATGAGCCTCATCGAGTGTGGCCCCGTGCACACCGCCTTCCAGGAGAAGCTGGAGGGCGGCCTGGGCGGGGCGCTAGACAGCGCGGACGCCAAAACCCGCGACCTCTTCTCCCGCTACCAGCGCCACTGCGAGCGGGTCTTCCGCGAGGCGGCGCAGGACCCAGAGGAGGTGACAGAGGTGGGCGCCGGGCGGGGCTCCGGGAGCAGGGGTCGCCGCTGGTGTCCGTGCCCAGCCCGCCCAGCCCGCGCCAACGAGCCTCTTCCCGTCGCCGCAGGTCTTCCTCACCGCACTGCGCGCCCAGCGGCCCGCACTGCGCTACTTTACCACCGAACACTTCCTGCCCCTGGTGCGCTTGCGCTTCGACGACTCCAGCGGCTGTAGCTACGTGGCCGCTATGCGCCGTGCGGTGTTCGAAGACGAGTCCGCGGAGGGCCCCGAGAGCGCCCGAGTGGAGCCCGAGGCCGCAGGACTTGGGGGTTCTGAGCTTGGCGCCCCTGCCACCGCCCCGCAATAAAGGCTTCGTCCTCCGTCTCCAGAGCCTTTTTTTGATCCCCCTGAGGGTGTGCGGTCCGGGGGATGGGGGCAATGGCGAGGGCCCCGGCTGCACTGCACTTGAGCGACCAGTGGCTGGCTTCAGCCTTCCGATGGCACAGGCAGTGAGTGGGTGATCGGGGCGGGTCACGTTAGTCTTGGCTCTACCTTCACGAAAATCGAGAGCCAGAGAGCCGACGGAACTATCCCAGGTTCACGCCACAAGTCCACAACATAGCCGGGACGCAAGCTGACCCCTGGATACCCAAAGGGCATCTGCAGCATTAAGAGTAAGACGAACCAGGCTGGGAGGATTCAGGTTGTAACTTGGCTCTCTTTAGCCATGGGACCTGAGGCGAGATCCCTACCTTCTCTGAGCCTGTTTTCTTATAGTAAAACGGGTATAATAATACCTATCTCATGGGTTGTTGTTAATTGCCGTCAAGTCTATTCTGACTCATGGAGACCCCATGTGTCAGAGTAGAACTGCGGTCCATAGGGTTTTTAAGACTCATCTTTCAGCGGCAGATCGCCAGGCCTGTCTTCCAAGGCATCCTCTGGGTGGGTTTGATGTGTTGTTGTGTGTCTCAAGTCGATTCTGCCTCATAGAGACCCTATAGGACAGAGTAGAACTGCCCCATAGGGTTTCCTAGGCTGTAATCTTTATGGGAGGAGATTGCCAGGTCTTTTCTCCCTCAGAGCGGCTGGTGGATTCCAACCTCCAACCTTAGGGTTAGCAGCCAAATGCTTTAGCCATTGCACCACCATGTAGTCAGGATAAATTGAGATAATGCCTGTAAGTGCTGGTATAGAAGTACTAGTATTCTAGTGTTATTATATTCCCATTCGGAAGCCAGATGTGTAAAGAACAGGGCTAAATGAATCCGAGACAGCCCCACTTCCTCCTCCCCCACCACACCACCAGACAAAAGTCAGCAGGAGAGACCCCCACCAGCCCCAAGCTGCCTCTCACTTCAGAGTTGGGCTGTGGCTGCAGACCTGGCTGATCTGCCCAATGTCCTGTCCACCTTCCTGGGCCCAGTGGAGTGGGCCTGAGTGACTGAACTGGGTTGCAAGGTTGTAGAGACAATCTCTTTCTGCCTTCGTGGGAGGTCTGATGCCAAAGAAGGGGTGGAAAACAGAGGCTAAGTGAGGAGGTTGCAAGCAGAGGAAAGGGGAAAGGCCCCCTACTAGGGGACGGTACTGAGATAGGCAACAGGCTTCGGAGGGGTGTGATCTGAAAGGAGGTAAAGGGTGAGGGAGGAATGGCCGCAGAGAGCTTGGGAAGTGGGAATAGAGAGGAATAGAGTGGGGTTCTTGGGGCCGTGTGGGGGGCACTGAGGGAAGGAGGCACTGCATTCTGACCTGCCTCTACCTCCACGTAAGTGTCTTCCCTGGGCCTGTTGCACTGCCTGCTGCCTCTGCTCTTGGGGAAAGGGCAGGAAGGGGCCTCACAGCCACCCAGCCCTTGCCTGCCTCCTCACCCTGCTGGCCCAGATGGATCTGCTACCCCTACTGCACCCAGGAAGGCCAAAGGAAGGGGATGGGGCCAAGGTGGCATGAGCCTCTGAGGCATGGGACCTGTTCTCAGAGCCCAGCTTCTCTCCCCTAGCCTGCTCTTTTGCACCTCAGTGTGAATGTGTGTGTGCTCAAGCCCACAAGGTCACCCCTGGGGGCGGGGGCAGGGGATGAGCCAGGTGAAGTGTGACCCCTCCCTCTTCCATATATTCATACCCTTAATAACCTCATGCAGTCCTGTGATTTCCAGTGCCATCCATTTGTATGCTGATGAGCTCTCTTCCAAAAAAAAAAAAGGCCGCATATCTCCAACTCGATCTTCACTCACAAACTCAAAGCTTGTATCTTCAACTGCCTACTCATCATTTCCATTTGATGTCTACTAAACTTAATGTGTCCAAACTGCAATTCATCAGTCCAAAAACCTTGCTGTCCTCCTTGACCCCTTTCTCTTTCTCTCTCTCTCTCACACACACACCTCATTTAATGTTAGCAAATACCACCAACTCTACTTCAGCCTTCAAAGTATATTCAGAAACCACCCTAGTCCACATATTATCATCTGTCTTGGGATTATTGCAGTAGCTCCTAACTGATTTCCCTGATTCCATCCTTGCCTACCAACAGTAAAATATCCACAGATGGCCAGAATGATTTTTTTTAGAAGGAAAGTCTGATCATTTCATACCTCTGCTCAAAACATTTCTTGTGGCTTTCCATCTCAGTAAAATCTAAGGTCTTCCTCATGGTCTCCAAGACCTTTGACCTGACCCCTGCTTCCTCTCCAAACTCATCTCCCACTACTTTCCGTCTTGGTCATCTGATCTAGCCCACTGGCCTCCTGCCTCAGAGCCTTTGCACTTGCCGTTCCCTTTGTCTGGTTCAGTTTTCCCCAGATCTCTGATTCTCTCTCTTCCTTCAGGTCTTTGTTATTTTCCTGGACCACTCTGTCTAAAATAGTATTCCCTCCCCTCCAGGATGGACCCTTATCCAGCTTTATTCCTTTTCATAGCACTTATCACCACTGCTATGATATAGATATATTTATTGACTGTAGCCTTTACCACCCCATCCCTTGACACACAGGACTGTAAAGTCCAGGAGGGCAAGGACTTTGTTGTGTTCATTGGTCTCTCTCTCTTGTGCCTAGAACCAGTGCTTGCACGCAGGAGGCACTAAATACACATTTACTGAACAAATGTGACTGTGCAGGTGTATGAGACCGTCAGTCCCTGAAAGCCTTCGCTGCTTACTTCTTCAGATTGAGTTCTCTGTTGAAAACACAGCTTAAGATGTCTCGCGCAAGAAGACTGCCCCATTAACGCCTTTGTGGCTCTACAACTCTTTGATCCTTGACTCCAAGTGCAGATCCAGGTTTTGTGGGACCTGAGGTTTATATGCTTTTGGGGACCTCTTTAGGAAAAACAATACAAAAGACAAACACAAAATTAACTATAAAAGTGAGTATTTAGTTCAGGATAATAAACACAGCATGTTATTGGAGTCTGGGGGATTGGTTTCCCTTTCTTCTGAGATCTCTGGGCAATTTACCCGAAATGTTTCCTAATGGCAACCTGGCTTGCCCTCCCCACTGAGAAGACTACCACTAGCCTTTCCAGCACTCAGTAGCTTCAAGGTAAATCCGTCACTGCTTGACTCGGGTTTGGCCTTTCAGGTCCTTTCTCATGCCCAGAGAGACTGTCCTCAGAAGGTCTGCTGAGCTCACACGCAGAGCTCTCCCCCTTAACTCCCCAGCAAACAGGCACATCACTGCACTTGGGTGGTGCGGAGAGCATCCCAGGGGACTCCGGAGACCTGGCCTCTGTCATTACCTCTCTATATGTCCCTTGAACATACAGGGTCTGTTTTCCCATCTGTGAAACGGGGGCTTGGACAACTGTTCTGTGGCCTTTCACGCGAGGATCCTCAGACTCGGAGGGCACCAGGCAGGCTTTGGGGACGCCAGGCCCCGAGTCATGCGCAACCCTAAGACATTCACCTTCATCCCCGGAATTTATTAAGCCGGATGTTAGTTCTGGCTTTGCCGTTGCCTCCTGGGTGATCCGAAGGCCATCCGTCACACAAGCCTTCAAACTCGCTTTGCCCTCCGAGTGGCTTGGACTTGGGAACCAAGGATTCAACCATCCCCTTACCCTGGGGACTCAGCCCCGCCCCATCGGCAGGACGCGCCCCACTCACAAGAAAGCTCGCGAGAATCTCGCTCGGTACTAAAGTTGAGATGTATGAGCTTTCTCGGTTTCCGTAGGTCGGAGTCGCGTTCCCTGAGTTAGCGATTCCGGGTCGCTGTTTGGGTAGCCTCCGCAGCGCTCCAGGGGGAGCCAGAGTCCGGTGGCTTCAGTGAGTAGGGGTAGAATCTGAGCGCCCCCCTTTAACTCTCTCGCCCGATTCCTTGAAGACCCTGGTGCAGGTTAGCAAGAGGGCCCAGGACTCCTGGATCCCCAGCCCTATGACTCAGGGGCTCCTGCCCAGTTTCCCACTCTCAGCATTTCGATTCAGTTCAGCGAATTCATCGCCCTGTCTGAGATGAGGAAACCATAACTCAGAGGACGGCCCCGAGGCGCAGTCTACCAAGCCCCCTCCCCCTCTCCCTCTCCCAGGGTTCCTCAAATCAGCACTGAGATCCTGTCCCTGACCGTTGTCCCCTTCCCAGAGTCCAAGGTCTGTGCAGGCCTCGGTCTCAGCCGCATTCCCCTCAATCACCCTCGTCTCATCTCCTTAACTATCCGCAGGCCCGGGGCAGCATGGCCGTGTTCCGGTCGGGCCTCCTGGTGCTAACGACACCTCTGGCCTCCCTGACCACTCGCCTGGCGCCCATCCTAACCTCGGCGGCCCAACTGGTGAATCACACGCTCTATGTCCATCTGCAGCCTGGCCTGAGCCTGGAAGGCCCTGCTCAGCCCGAGTCCAGCCCCGTGCAGGCTACGTTTGAGGTCCTCGATCTCATCACGCACCTCTACGCAGGCGCCAGTGTCCACGGGCACCTGGACGTCCGAGTTCTGCTGACCAATATCCGAGCCAAGAGCGCCTTTCTTCCTCCCCAGTTCAGCTCAGTCCAGAACCTGGCCCACCCACCGGAAGTAGTGCTAACTGACTTCCAGACGCTGGATGGCAGCCAGTATAACCCAGTCAAGCAACAGCTAGAGCGCTATGCCACCAGCTGTTATAGCTGTTGCCCGCAACTGGCTTCGGTGCTGCTATACCCCGAGTATGGGTCTAGGGCGGTGTCCTTGGAGCCCCAGGATGCCCCCTCATCCTCCACCATCAAGCCAGCCTCCCCTGTGGCCAGGTCTCCAAAGCAGCCGGTGCGTGGCTACCACCGTGGGGCTGTGGGTGGCACGTTTGACCGCCTGCACAATGCTCACAAGGTGTTGCTCAGCGTCTCATGCATCCTGGCCCAGGAGCGGCTTGTGGTAGGAGTAGCAGACAAAGACCTGTTGAAGAGTGAGTGAGAGGGACCCTGGATTAGGGCAGTGGAGGACCCCAAATCTTTTTGCCCCCTCTTATGCCAAGATTGAGGATGGGTGAGACTATCTATTAATTCGAACCTCTCCCAAATGTGAAGTGCCTGGCACTCAGTTGGTGCTAAGGAAATTTTGTTAAATGAATAAATGTAGCTTTCTCAATGTGTGGGACAGTCACCACTCAATCATGATTCCCGCAGTGTGGAGCCAGGGAATGTGTATTTTGATATGGGCTCCAGGTGATGAACCTTAAAGTTTGGGATCTTGGGATAAATAGATGTTGTAGGTAGTAGTGCTAGAGGCAATAAGAGAGTGTCAAGGATGGTGTTGGATCTTGTAATTCTCCATCTGACGCTGGTGCCCACTTGCACTGCTGTTTCTCTGGAGTAGTTTTCTGGTGGCTTGTTTTCTGGGTACAGGCTGGTCCTTCCAGCAACTATTTTGCTTGTCTCCCTCCTCCCTCAAAGCCCCTGCCCACAGACCACTTCCCACCTTAGCTCTTTCTTCCTACCGCTCTCTCTAGAGATACAGTGCCAAGGGGTACTCTTTCCCAAACTGTCCCACACTCTTTTTTTCCCCAGTATAAAGAGCTCACTGTTTTTCTGGCTTCTTCCCCAGGCAAGTTGCTCCCTGAGCTGCTCCAATCCTATGAAGTACGTGTGGAACGTCTGAGTGAGTTCCTGGTGGACATCAAGCCCTCCTTGACTTTTGATCTCATTCCCCTGCTGGACCCCTATGGGCCCGCTGGCTCTGACCCCTCCCTGGAGTTCCTGGTGGTCAGCGAGGAGACCTATCGTGGGGGGATGGCCGTCAACCGCTTCCGCCTCGAGAATGTAACCCCTGAGGGAGACTGGCAGAGGGAGTGGATGGGGATGGGGATGGCCGCTATGGGAGGCTGTTGGAAGTACTGTGGCCTCGAAGGAGGGAAGAGAAGGCTCCGGGTGGTGGGAAGCGGCAGGGAAGAACTGCGTCCCAGAATGCCCTCTGAATTGGAGGACGAGCCCAGAGTGTATGGGGGAGGATAAGGGGCAGGTTGGGTGTCAGGGTTTGCCTCTCTTCATCTCACTCCTCCTTCCCTCTCCCCTACTCTCCTCCTTTACATCAGGACCTGGAGGAGCTTGCCTTGTACCAGGTCCAGCTACTGAAGGACCCAAACCACATGGAAAATGAAGAGGATAAAGTCAGCTCCTCCAACTTCCGCCAGCAAATGCTGGGGAACCTGCTGCGGCCACCACATGTAGGCCCCCTCGCCCTGCTTAGGTGGGCTGGACATGCTGGAGGATGGAGACTGAGGGGTTCCCGTAAGCATGAGCCTGAGGGCCCTGGTAACTGAGTTCTTCTCTCTCATCTACCCCCAGAAGAGGCCAGAGCTTCCCCAAAATCTCTACGTGATTGGGTTGACGGGCATTAGTGGCTCTGGGAAGAGCTCGGTAGCTCAGCGGCTGAAGGGCCTGGGGGCATATATCATCGACAGTGATCACCTGGGCCATCGGGCCTATGCCCCGGGCGGCCCTGCCTACCAGCCTGTGGTGGAAGCCTTTGGGCCAGGTAATAACTGGGGAAGGCTGCAGGTGGCCTGAAGTGAGGAGATGGCCTGGCCTCCTTGCTCAGGTCTCCATCTTTGTCATCCAGATATTCTCCATAAAGATGGCATCATCAACAGGAAGATCCTAGGCAGCCGGGTGTTTGGGAACAAGGTAAACGAACACCTGTTGGAGGGCTCCTCAGCTGCTTCTAGACCCAGGGGTTGGGACCCAGTGGATCTCTCTGGTCTGGCCCATTTCTACTCATCTACTCCCAACGACCACCTTCCTTGGACTGGCTCCATTTCTGAGGGAGGTAACCTCTGCCTGCTTTCTCTGTCTCCCACCCTAGAAGCAGCTGAAGATACTCACAGACATTATGTGGCCAATTATTGCAAAATTGGCCCAAGAGGAGATGGACCTGGCTGTGGCTGAGGGTGAGTAGCAGGGATGATGAGAGCAGCCAAGGGGGACAGTTAGGCAGATTCTGGGAGCTTCCTTGGCAGTGACTAGGGTCTCCCTGCAGGAAAGCGTGTGTGCGTGATTGATGCCGCCATGCTGCTTGAAGCCGGCTGGCAGAACATGGTCCATGAGGTGTGGACCGTTGTCATCCCTGAGACTGAGGTATCTGGACCCCAACCCCACCCCACCCCAATTGCAGACTGCATCCTGCACTGAACTGGGGGCTGAGCTTGGCATCCTTCCTGACCAATGCCTTTCTGTGCCCAGGCTGTCCGGCGCATTGTGGAGCGTGATGGCCTGAGTGAAGTTGCAGCGCAAAGCCGGCTGCAGAGCCAGATGAGTGGGCAGCAGCTTGTGGACCAGAGCCACGTGGTGCTGAGCACGCTGTGGGAGCCAGAGGTCACCCAGCGCCAGGTTGATGCCCAGGGAATGGCTGGGTTGTGGGGAGGGAGTCTCCAAGTGGCTACCTGCTCGACCCTTGCCCTCTTTTCCTCCTTCCAACATTCTGACCTGCCCAAAGGTGGAGAAAGCCTGGAACCTTTTGCAGAAGCGCATTCCAAAGATGCCATCAGGCCCATGAATGACCATGAATTCTCTGTGGGATCAGATTGGCCCCTGGAGCTGACAAGAGATACAGTGGTGATTGGAGTGGAGCCTCAATGCTTACCCTGGCTTGGACCTAGGGGGCTGTAAGCTGACCCGGGCAGGCCTGGGCCTGCCCAGCCTGCTTGTACGTGGCAAGCACTGAGGATGTGGCTCAAAGAGGAGCAGACCCCTGTGGCGTTCCATCCCTACTCTTGCCCAGGAGTGTCTGTGATACCCACAGCTGACTGGGACCAGAGCAACAGTGGAACTTGTAACAGAATTAAAGGTGAATGTTTCCAGGTGAATGTATTGTGTCTGCTTCCTGCTCAGATGCCTCTGGGTATCTCTGGAACCCTTGAGCCACAAGCTGGGGAGTGCAGTGGTTAAGGGCATGGCCATTAAGAGCATGGCCTTTGGAGCTACCCAAATTGAGGTCAGCCCTGGCCTACCACTGACTAGCAGTATGCTTTTGGATAAGTCACAGACTTTCTAGGGACCTCAGCTTCCTTATCTATAAAGTAGGGTAAGTTGGCTCACAGGCTGTTTGCAAGAAATGATTAATTTCACAGGTATCCTGCCAAACTGGCCTGGGTGTTGAGAGAGATCATCCGGAAGCAAGCCACATGGGGTCTCTGCCCTTACAGGGCTTGCAGCCTGGTGGGGTCAGACGCACGGAAGCTCAGCCCAGTTCCAGACTGGCCAGGCCTGCAGTCCCGGAACCCGGGCGGGCAGGCAGGTGCCTGCGGGGCAGCCTGAGAAACGCGCACAACTATGCCACAATATTCTGAGTCTCTGGAGGGGACCCCATTTCACAGAAAGTGCTTTATGTCGCCGCCATTCCAGAGTACCTAACCCGAGGGAGGAGGCTGATGGACGAGGAAGATGCCCCTAAAGCTGCCTTTTAGTCCGAACTCCGGGCTTAGCGCAGTTACCCGTTGTGGGCCAGTCGATTCCAAACTCATAGTGACCCTATAGGATAGAGTAGAACTGCCCCATAGTTTCCAAGGAGCGCCTAGTGGATTGGAACCGCCAACCTTTCGGTTAGCAGTCGTAGCGACCACTACGCCACCGGGGTTTCCTTGGCGCAGTTGACTGGCTGTATTTTAAAGCCCTGGGGCTGCGCATGCGCATTCTTCACCCCCACGCCCTCCGCCTTTTGACCGCGGATTGGTGGTTTTGGGTCACGTGGGGGGGGACACCACCCTCTTCCTCGCGGCCGCGGGCCCGCCCGCTGGTTTGTTTTCGGTTCGGTGGGTTCAAGATGACGGAGCCAGTAGCCTCGCCCGAAGACCCCTGGGTCAAGGCAAGCCCCGTGGGCGCGCACGCCAGCGAGGGTAGGGCGGGTCGGGCTCGTGCACGGAGGGGGTTTGGAAGACTAGGGGATTCCCTCCTGTTCCGTAAGTTTCTCCCCCACTCCGGGACCCGGGGCTGCAGAGAAGACAGTTCTTGCCCCGCCCGTGCTAAGGTGGGGGAACAAATGAAGTGTGTGTGTGCACCAGTGTGAGAGAAGGGGGTTCCTGGAGATGGGAGTGAGGAGCTGGGCGGTGCTCCCACGGCCTATCTAATGTCGGCTCTTGGCGGGGATCATTCCGCTGACTGCGCGCCCTGGGTATGTGTGCAGGCGCGCGCACACAGTGAAATGGGGAGCAGGGGTCTGACGGGCTTCTGCCTTGCTTGGTGTCTCAGGTGGAGTACGCCTACAGCGACAACAGCCTGGACCCCGGTGAGTGTCTCCCTACCTCCGTCCGCTACCGTTCTCAGCGCAAAGTGACCCTCCCTTTTCAGCCTTATAGATTCGCATGACCTTGCCAGCCACCCCCGAGTACAGTCCATTGTGCTCGCTTGAAATAGCGAGGGAGGAGCTGAAGGAGGGGCAGGAAGCAACCAAGAGTGACACCCATTTCCTTCTGCTGTGGGGCAGGGAACTGATGGAAGTAGTGACAACTGGTCACTCTCTAAGGAGCCCTGGTGGCGCAGTGGTTGAAGCAGTCGACTGCTAACGGAAAGGTCGGCGGTTCGAAACCACCAGTGGCTGTGTGGCAGAAAGATGTGGCAGTCTGCTTCCTAGAAATTTACAGCCTAGGAAACCCTGTGGCGTTGCTATAAGTACAAATCGACTCAGTGGCGGTGGGTTTCATTTGTTTTTTGAGTCACTTTCTCACCCTCATCATGTCCAGATGCCCCGTTGAGAACCAGGGGGTGTCACTGCAGGCCTGTTGGGCAGGGTAGACATTAGGAACAGCAGCATTGCAGTATGGAATGGTAGGAGGTGAGTGGCCTGGTAAGGCTGGCTTTGGGGTTGAAGGGGAGAGGTCAGCATTTAAGCATCAGGAAGCCATGGTGCCCACAGATGTCCGAGGGCCTAGCAATGTTCCCCACCCCACCCCTTAGTGATTGGGGCCTCTCTTTTCCAGGGCTTTTTGTAGAAGGCACCCGTAAAGGGAGTGTAGTGTCCAGAGCTAATAGCATCGGTTCCACCAGTGCCTCTTCAGTCCCCAACACAGGTAGGCAGCACCATCCCCCCACCGGGGGGGATTAAGATATGCCATCATTTTAGTATGTTTCCTAGACAGGGAAGCGCCTGCCATCCATATGGAGGTACTGCAGCCCTAGTGCCAGACATAGGGTCTCACCATCTTTCACCTCATCTAGGATATTAGGTTCTTCTGCCCATCTGCTGTCTCTGGGTACCAGGTTCCTCTTCTCCCCATTTGGGTAAAGGTGGGGTAGCTGAGCCCCGCTGGGCCCCAGGATGACCTCTCCTTGCCCCCAACTCTGAGCATAGATGACGAGGACAGTGATTACCACCAGGAGTCCTACAAGGAGTCCTACAAGGACCGGCGGCGGCGAGCGCACACTCAGGCCGAGCAGAAGAGGAGAGATGCCATCAAGGTGAGTGGCGAGGCAGTGCAGCCAGGGCAAGAGGGCTCCACAGATTTCAGCTTCGTTCTGCCCAGGCCCTATCAGACAGTCCCAGGCTGACCGGGGGTCAGCTGGTCCAGTCCCTGAACTTGAACACCTCACTTCTTCCACCCTCCCCGCCCCCTACCCCTTTGAGCTTGTGAGCATGGAACTTGGTGTTACGGAAGCTTAGCTTTGTGCCAGTTTGCCTTAACCCTTGAGGGTTAAGGAATCCCCGTTTGCCCTTTTATCTCCACAGAGAGGCTATGATGACCTTCAGACCATTGTCCCCACCTGCCAGCAGCAGGACTTCTCCATTGGCTCCCAAAAGCTCAGCAAAGCCATCGTTCTACAAAAGAGTATGGCCATGGAGAGCACTGGAGGGGGTGGGACTAACGGGGGCTGTAAAGAGGTTAGTGCCTCCTACCCATTCAGCTTGGTGTGGTGGATATAATGGGATAGCTGGGGGGCAGGAGAAACAAAACCAGCCTTGTCCCCCTGGCTGAGACTTCTTCTGTGCCCACCTCCTCTTCCCACTCCCACCCTAGCCATTGACTATATCCAGTTTCTGCACAAGGAGAAGAAAAAGCAGGAGGAGGAGGTGTCCACGCTACGCAAGGACGTCACGGCCCTGAAGATCATGAAAGTGTAAGGGGTGCTGAACTGGAGGAACCAGAGCCTCTGAGGGGACTTTGAGTCAGACTTCACACCCTCCCTTTGTCCAAAGGCCATGTCAGGAACTACAAATACAGATAATATTCTCACTCCCTGAGGTAGCCTGTCACTTAGAGGCAGGTTTCTCTGTCCCCAGCAGTCCCATACACATAGCAGATGCTCAGGAAATGCCTGTTGGATATATGAAGAGAAGGTTGGGGAGAGAGGGTTACCATTTCTGACCCAAAAGCAGTATCTAGCTGATGTTGAATACCTCCCAAAAGCTCTCTGGGACACATCTGTACTGGGAGTCCTCTTCCTGGGGAGGTCCATGGGGTAACCCATCATTCTTTCTGGACTGGTAGAGCTGCTACAGCACCTCACCCTTGGCTTGCTCTTTTTCAGGAACTACGAGCAGATTGTGAAGGCGCATCAGGACAACCCCAGTGAGGGGGAGGACCAGGTCTCTGACCAGGTCAAGTTCAATGTATTTCAAGGCATCATGGACTCCCTGTTCCAGTCCTTCAATGCCTCCATCTCTGTGGCCAACTTTCAGGAGCTGTCAGCCTGTGTCTTCAGCTGGATTGAGGAGCACTGTAAGCCTCAGGTATGAGGTAGTGATGGTCACAGAGGGAGAGGTCCTGGGGTTGTCTCCTTACTTTTAGGCAAAGTGGCCCAAGCCATCATTTGTTCAGAAAAGCATGGTAGCAGCTTTTAGGTTTTTTGAGGGTGTTTCTGCAGTTTTCAGCACTCCTTATTTTCTCTCTTCTTTGCTGTCCAGCCCAGATTTTCCTGTTTTGGTTTTATTTGGCAAGTACGATTTGAGCACGCACTTACTCAGTGCACGGCCCAGCTCTCACTCGGCCTTTGTTTAGCTCCCATTATTGCTGCCTCGTTAGCCATTGCTCAGCTGTCCAGTGTGTAAACCTGATGACCGAGAGCAGAATTACTTTAGGTTTTTGTAAACATGGATTCCCGGATTACCCAGGCCCACTAAAATAGTGTATCCAGAGGTTTACTATTATTAATTATTATTGTTGTCATTATTTGTAATGGAAAGGCATGTTAACGATACCATTCTAGATCTTCTGCTTTTGAGGCCTGGTTGCTTTTTTCTGAGACTTGAACTTGCAGCTGAGATTCTTGCTTTCTTTTTTTTTATTGTTTCCCAACATTTTTATTGTGAAGCATTTTAAACATACTGCAACACTGAGAGAATTTTACGGTGAATACTCATATACCCACCACCTAAATTCTACTGTAACATTTTACTTTACATTAGCATTTACTTTTACATTAACATTTTACTGTATTTGCTTTATGTATTCATCTCTCTATCGTTTTCTCCATCCTGTTTTGGGGGCATTTCAAAGTAAACTGTAGGCATCAGTATACTTCCCAGGGCTTCTTTTAATGTACTCTGAAGAGAACACCTGGCTGAGGGGGGCACTACCTGAGACCGCTCTTTGTCCTCTGCCTGAGGGTCTATCTCTTCCTCTGCTGTCCCTCCCAGACCCTACGAGAGATTGTGATTGGCGTCCTGCACCAGCTAAAAAACCAGCTTTACTGACTGGCCCTTGGAAACCTTCAGAACAGCCAGCAAGAGGCCCCTGAGTCTCCTTCTACTTGGCCATGAAGCTGGTGGGCTTACGAGATCGGACTGCAACGCCTCACACCGGTCAGCTGGTTTCTACTTGGTGTTTGGTTCTCTCACCCTGACCTCACCTTCAGTGGGCTGACGTTTTTGTTTGTGAAAGCTTGTGATTAATTTATTATATTGACTGTAAAACTCACATCTACCTAGTCTGCCCTCCACCCCCAGCTTCACAGAAGTTCTCAGGACGGAGGTCTGCTCTGGGTACCCCAAAGAGCCCCTGGCCTTTCAGCCCTTTCTCCAAGCCTCAGATTTCTGCTCATGAGCTACATGTATTTGGAAACTATTGTTTGCCTCTGTTTTGGTCTTTTAGATAGCATTTGGCCCAAGTTTGGATGGGAGAAAAGGAGGAAGCGGAAATACTTCCACAGCCATGAAGGGCAAAAGATAGCCTCATACCTAGGCTAGGGCTGTTTGGTCAGTCCAAGGTCACCAGGGATTTCCCGGCCAGCCCAGGGCAGGGCTACCACGTTCCCGCCCTCACCTCATACTCCATCCTCTCTCCCTTCCTCCCCTGCTCTAGGCAATAGGGGGAAGCAACCTCTCCCTGTTCCCACAGGCGGTAGCACTTCACAGCAAAGGCAGGTGTGACACAGTACTACGTATTTACATTTTTTTATTTTCCTAAACAACAATGTAATTTTGCTAAAGTTACAATTTTGGAAAATGAGCTGGGCCTCAGAACCACTCCCAGCCTCTCTTGTGAAGTTTGTCTGTGTTTCCACTTTTCTCTCAGTGCTGCCTGCAATTCTCCCAGGATTTAGGGGTGGGGTGATGGGATACAGAATAAACTCTAAAGGCTTCCTGGGGTGCACAAGCCCAGGAAAGTCCTGGGTGAGGCCTGGGCTCCTCAAATGCTGGTGTATAGTAGCCTCTCTAGACCCCCACCCCTAAGCTCCCCCCTGCCTTCCTCCGCTCTGATATCTGGGAGATTTGACTATCCAGAGGAAATTAAATATTTTTATATCAAACTACATAACAATAAATATTGCCGAATGTTTTCCTTTAGCATTGCTCCAAGTCTAAGTGTTAAGCTTGAGAGATTGCAAGTGTTCAGTGAAATGAGCGTGATCATCACTCAGGATTACAGCCTCTCCCTCCACACAGTACTTTGGTTTATGCCCTTCTGCCAGCTGCCCTGCTCAGAGATGGAAAGCAGCAGGAACAGCAACAAAAAAGCCAACCTCAACAAGGCAGCCAGTCAGGGACCTCTGTGTTCCCATCCCCCAGTCCTGTCAGAGGGCCTCTCAGGGGTCTGGGAGCTTGACGTTGTAATCCTCATCAGTCTCTATCCCAACTTCCTCCTGTGGGGAGGGAGACAAGTGAATGTGACCTCCCTGGGCGAAGATCCAAGGGGTGCAGGGGAGGGGGAGAGTCCCACTTACAAAGAACTGCTTCTTGCTCTTGGGGTATCCTTCAAGGATTGCATCACACAGCTCTGTTGCCTGACAAGAAGCAAAACCACCCCTTTCAGAGGGATAGTACTGGGAACTGCCTGGCAGATCCGTGGTAGCAGGCAGCAATTTCTCCGGTGACTGCTATTTTCCAAAAGCTCTTCCAGGCTTGCCTTGGCACTCCAGCACACTTACCATCCGCTTCCTCTTCCTCCATTCCTTACAGTACTTCTGCCTCTCTCTGTAAACCTAGACAGAAGACACAGGTTCCTTTAAGCGCCAGCCCCACACCACCCAATGGGGGTCAACCCTTGTCTTCACCCCGGATCTGCACAAGCAGCCCTCCAACCTTCCACCCCTTCTGTTCTGCCCAGCTCACCTGCTCTTTCTCTTCTGGAGTTACATGGTTGGTGGCCGCCTGAATGTTCTTCAGTCTCTCCGTGTAGCCAGCACATTCCTTCTTTAACTCTTGGATCTCCTTCTGCATCTCCGGTGTGGTCAGGGCACTAGTTAACTCTTTCAGCTCTGAAACCACACCTCTCTGGGGTTACAGCTACCCCTGAGGAAAGGGTTCTCTCCTTCCCAGTGAGCGCTCCCAGAGGTGGGAGACCAGGCCTCTGCCTTGCTCTGGAATCTACCTTCTGGAAATGCTCGGGAAAATAAGGCTTACAGAATTACCAGTTTATTGTATTTTCCTTTCCCCTTCCATTTACAAGTGGTGGCGGGATGTGAGGTTGAGCAGACTTAGCAATAGCCAGTTAAAGAGGCAAGAATATAGGGAAACGTGGGAACAGCACACTGATAATCATGGTAGGGAATGCAAATACATGTCTTGCTCATTTGAATTCAAAAAGCTGTTTTCACATAATGCCTGAGGCAGCCCAGCAAAGGGATCTGAGCGGCAACAAGATATGCAGTCTCAACAAAGCACACACTCAGTAATTCCTGGACTCAGGACTGAACCTGCTGCTAGGGGCACCTTCCAGGGCTCCCCAGTCCTACCAGCCTCCATGTGGCGGCAGCTCTGCTGCAGGCTCTGCACCTGAGCGGTTAGGGCCACGATCTTGGCATCCAGGTTTTGGAGGTCAGCATCACTCACCATGTCAAACTGGTCCTGCCAGAGACAAGAGGAAAACGTAAGTGGGGCTGATGGGAGCGCACGTCTGGGAAGGCAAGGTTGCAGTATCTGGTACTCTCCAAAAAACCACTCACAGGGCTGAAGGAGTAAAGGAACATTCTCCTCAAGGTGGCGAAACCTAAATTATGGGTTTCACCAATAGGAACACTCTGGACAGGTGAAGAGGCATGAGTTTCACGGGTGCCTCAATGCTCCCAAGGAGAGGTGACACTAAGAGTTGATTCACCCAATGTCGGGCTCTCCCATGGGTGATGGCTTGTGCAGGTTTCCCTCACCTGATCTGCAAAATATATCTTCTGCTTGCCGTACATCTTCTCTTTGATCTTGCCTTCTTGGGCCAACTGTTCTAGCGCCTTCACCACCGCCTGGCAGAGGGGAGGGAGCAGAACAATCAGAAAAGTGCCTTTGGGCCTGGGAGTGGAGATTTCAGCCAATGATGGGGAAGCGCCCGACAGGCCAGGAAGCTCATGGCAGCTCGAGATGGCTGGGCTCCAGCCTGATTCGAGGTTTCCCAAGGGACAGGGATCCCGGAAGCGGGTCCTCACCGCCTTGCCAAGTCCGTGTTCCCGTTGCAGGTTCCCGAACACGTCTTGGGCGCTGTAGGGACGGTTCTGCTCCTGCAGGTATTTCAGGAGGAGCCCGGGGGCTATGGAGAGGGAGGAGGCGGGGGAGGAAGTCACTCGATCGAACCTCCTCACCGCTCCCCTCCCGAGTTTTGTCCGTGCCGGCACCCCCGTTACCTCCCGCCGCAGCTTCGGCCCGGCCCTTGCTCATGGCCTTTCCCGCCGCCAAACTCTGAAAGCCGGACATTGTAGTCGCTCGGGGCAACGGCTTCTTCCGGGGCGGGGGGAACTCGGGCGGTGATTGGCTGAGGGGGAAGCCTTCTGACGAACCGAGTGGCCTTTCTCGGACACCGTAGAGACTCGCCTTCGTTTCAGCCTGAAACTCTGGCATCTGGCGCCAACCTCCGGCCGTCGGGCCTCTGCGGGGCAGGTGGAGCCGCACGGTTTCTAACCTCTTCCTTCTTCCTCATCGGCAGGAAGGCTGCGGTAAAGAACTCCTAAAGTTTCGAGACCCATTTGTAGCCGTGGCTGAGTCGAGTATTCGTGTCCTTCAGCTAGGCCCAGAGCGTTTGAACGGAAAGAAACTTTACGGATCTACTCTCGCACTGGGCAAGCGACTTGCTCAAGGTCACAGGGCTAATTACACACAGTGACGTGTCCTAAGCCCACGGTCCACTGCTCTTTTCGCCGGTCAGTTCCATTATTTGTAAAATAATAATAAGGGGGTGGTTGTGAAAACTTAATATCGTCAACGCCGTAGGAAGAGCGTTATACCCTCTATGCCCATTACCGAGCTTCACACACAGGGGGTGCTCAACACACGCGGTGGTTTGAACGCCCAAGGAAAGGTTTGGTTGGAGGGGGCCATTCCTAAACCGCAAAGATTGCAGAGAAGCTTCCTGTTGGTCCAGTCAAGCTCACGACAGCACCTGGCAGGTGCTTTTCATTCCTGCCCACAGTGGCCAGTGGGACAGAGCCTGAAATAAGTATTTCTAGTTTCTGAGGTCAGCTGAAGGCCGAAGAGCAGCTGTCCCTGCAGCTCAATCCAGTGGAGGAGGAGCGTGGTGCTACTTTTTTAAGGCCTTATGCTACCTAAAATCTCACTAGCCCCGGAAACGTACTGGTCTTCTCACGTTTAGGAGACAATATTAAGAATTAGAAATGAGAGAACTGCAGGCTAGATTATGCTCATGCTGGGCTCTCCTGGGGTGGGGAAATGGCCTCATACTATGGTGATTGTTCTTACAGGAAAACTAGGGACGGGCACGTGAGCCCCTTCTGAGCTGTCACCTCTTCAAATTAATCAGATCTCGGATTAACAACAGAAGACTTACCAAGGGTAGGACACCATTCAACACCAGTCTCTTAAAAGATTGTTCTCATACAAGATTTATTCCCCAGCACTCACCCACCCACCGACCCCTAATTCACAGTGGAGGACTAAGGAGATTCAGAGCAGGATCCCCCAGGTACGAGAAACAGCTTCCAAAGATTTTGCTCTCCTTGCTTTCCTCCCTCCCTCTTGACACCTCCCAAGGCCTGAAGCTACACACACTCATGCAGACACACAAAATCCCACTCCTTTCCCACACCTCCTATTTTTTCCACATCAGAGCACACCTGTAAGACACCTGGGCTCTGAGGAGAGGTGCCCAAAATCTGTTTGAGAACCCTAAAGCAGGGGGTGCCATTTACCCCTACCCTTCACACAAAGGTAAGTGACTATGAAATAGGCACCTAGTTCTTCTCCCTTCTGTTTTCGTTCTCTGGCCTCTGTACCTTTCCAACAACCAAGAGCAAACAAGTTTGCACACCCCCACTTGCAGCGCATGAAAATGGGCTCTGTCCAACATCCCTCACCCAGGTATGGGGGGTGCTGGGGGAGTGGTCCCTGAGGATTGGCCAAGAGTTAATGCAGAGGGAAGAGGATAGAAGAATTTGGCTTGAGCTCTGATTGGGGAGGCAGAGAGGCTGTGGGGCTAGCATAACTTAATTAGCATTTTTTGGGTTTTGTCTCACATGATTTTACTAGCAGCAGCAGAACACATGCCCCTTGGAGGGGTCTCTGCTGATAATAGAGTTTCACTAACTGGGCTCATCCTTAAAGGAGGCCCTGTCAGGATAGGAAGCAGTTGAAAAGAAAAGCAGTAGAGGAGCTGAACAGGGAGTATGAACAGCTGGTGCAAGAGAGCCAGTGGCTCCTGGTATGAATGCCACTGGGCCATTTTTAAAGTGCTACTTTGTTATCCCCCATGGAGTTATTACTTCTCCACAAGAGGAGCAGAGGAAGGAGCAGGAACGTAGAAATAGGAATGGTATTGCTCATTGCTCAGGCTGATGGTCAGATGGAGCTGGGAGTTAACAGCACCAAAGACAAGCAGGCAGCTCCAGGGCCTTCAGTGAGACCAGGTGGTATGAAAACACTCCTTGACCCTCCAGGCCTACTGATCCCCATGGCCAAGGGGATGTGGAAGAGGCCTGTCCCCATGTCACGTTCACATTTCTTTAAATTTCACAAGCATTATTTTGGAGGGGTGGGGGGAAGGGCAGGCCTGCTATGCAGAACCAAAGGCCAAGCTTGCTTAGAAAAAAACCCAAACCAAATCATGGTTTAACAGAAGAGGACGACAGTGTGACTTTCCAGCTGCTGCCTGACTTTGGAGGCTCTAGGGAAGTGATGAACGGAAGAAGGAAGGAATGGGCTCTTCTCTCAGTGAGGGCCCCCAAGCACCCATACCTGGAAGGAAACAGCAGCACCCCTCAAAGGGGAACCAATACCCCTGACTACTTTGTTCCCCAAAAGTACCACCCTGTTGGAGAGAGGCCTCCCTTGGGAAGCACGCTCTCAGGTCAGTGACTGAGCTCATATGGTATCCAGCTGGTAGCAGGGGAGTGAGTATCCTCTCTAAGCAGGCCTCAGAGCATCAGCCAGGCCACTCAGCGTACAAATATAATTCAGGGGATGGGACCTGGGTTCTTCCCTTGCCCCTTCACCTAAAGTGGGATGGGGTGGGTAAAAAACGTAAACCACAGTGCCCCCCCACCCCCCCCAAAACAAAGGAGTCTCTTTCTCAGTGGCTCCTAGAACTGGCAGGGTCCAGCTGATTCAGCTCCGACTGATCAAGAAGTTCAAAGTCATCCCCCTCAGCATCAGTGTCCAGGTCTGAACTGGGGGCCTGGAGGAAGCCTCTTGTTGCTCTTCGGGGAGCAGGGCCAGAGGGGCCTGGCTGGGAGGCCCCTGACAGGGCGAGCTGGATCATGCCCTGGGAGACCAGGCTGGCAAGGTTGCTGGTGAGGTTGGATCCTGCAGGCAGGGCACCAAGCAGAAGCCCCGGCAGTGCGGCCTCATCCCGGCTTGCAGGAGGGGCCTGGGGCTCCTCGGCCCCTGGTGGGGAACGGTACATCAGGTTGGGCATCCCAATGCTGGTGTCATCTTCATCATCCAGGCCAGGAGGATCCACGTTAATGGAAGGGAAGTCTGGGAGGTCTCTGGCAAAGGATTCCTCTGGATCACTGTGACCATCTAGGTCTGGGAGAATACAGAGGTGTCTGAGACATGGAGCTGTCTGGCCCTGCTGTGCCCCAGCCCAACAAAGAACCCCATATAACCATATTTTCCCCACTACAGATTTCTCAGGGTGAAGCAAACCGTGTGGGACTCGTCAGCTTTCCCCCTCCATTTACAGATGGGTATGATCTCTACTGGCCAGAGAACTCCCCTCCCTCCCTCCACTACACCACCTGTGATGTGAGAACCCAAGGCTTCAAGGAAAACAGCAGTGCCGCCCTGGCTGTAGTCGTACCCCTAAGGCTACTCTGCAACCTGATCCACAGCTCAGAAAATAGGACAGACAGGGGCATCAGTATCCCCTCCCACAGCCTGGGGAAACTGAGCAGGAACAGTCAGATCCCTTATCAACTCAGGTCCAAGGTCCCTCACCTTCAGAGCCTTCTGTTAGAGGTGTTTGGCCCCTGGAAAGATTGAATGTGCCATTGTCTGTACAGGAGACCTCTGCATCCGAGTGCTCAGAGTCTGTGATGGCCAATTCCCTGGCAACAGTAGAATCATCCAGCTTAGGAAAAGAAAAGACCGACAAGCCTGAGGAGATGATGTCATTCGGAACCAGGTGCAGTCCCCCGGTATAGCTTTACTAATATAGGTGGCCCTGGCCCTAAAGGCTGCCCCCAGACCATCAGCTTAACCAGGTGGGCATGGGGACGTCAGTCAAAATCTTGACCGCTCTGGAAGATTAGTCCAAAGGACTAATGGACCACAACTGCCACAGCCTCCACCAGACTGAGTCCAGCACAACTAGACGGCGTCCAGCTACCACCACCGACTGCTCTGACAGGGATCACAATAGAGGGTCCTTGACAGAGCTGAAGAAAAATGTAGAACAAAATTCTAACTCACAAAAAAAGACCATACTTACTGGTCTGACAAAGATTGGAGAAACCCTAAGAGTATGGCCCCCGGACACCCTTATAACTCAGTACTGAAGTCACTCCTGAGGTACACCCTTCAGCCAAAGATTAAACAGGCCCGTAAAACAAAACGACTAAATGGGCACACCAGCCCAGGGGCAAGGACGAGAAGGCAGGAGGGGGCAGGAGAGCAGGTAATGGGGAACCCAAGATCGGGAAGGGGTTAGTGTTGACATTTCATGGCGTTGGCAACCAATATCACAAAACAGTATGTGTACTGTTTAATGAGAAACTAATTTGCTCTGTAAACCTTCATCTAAAGCACAAAAAAAAAAAAAAAAAAGGGAAGAAAAAAAAAATCTTGGCCCCTTTTAGGCTGCTCTCCTAAGGAAACACCCTTATTCATCCTTCCAGGAACACAGGAAGGAAAGCAGTCTTGGGAATCAATTAGCCACTTTATCTTAAACAAATAATTGGTCCAGAGAATAATTTTCACAGGTGGCCAGGAGGATACACACACTGTCCAGACCTAGGGGTGGCCTGGGCTATTTAAAAGGTGATCACACCAGCTCCAAAGGTTCTACCATTATGTTGGGGTTAAAAGAAGGCATGGGAAAGAGTGTGCTGGTCACCTGGCTCAAATTAAGATCTAGGTACTGAGTTCCAATATAACACTAGTTTCTCTCCCTGTTACTGCTCTTGGGGGCAAGGGGTGTCTGTCTAGAGCCTTGGAGAAACCATCATGAGCTTGAAACCTGGTTACTGCCAAAATGTGAGGTGCCAGATGGTTCACAGGGAGCTAAAGAAAGCTGGCCGGTAAGCAGCTCCCCCACCCAAGATACCTGAGGACAGAAGGCAGCAAGCTCCTCTTCGCTGTCACTGTGGTTGTCCACGGCATGTTCACGGTGTAGACCTCTGCGGTGCACTATGTGGAAAGAGCAGAAGACCGTGACACCTTCCCTGGGGGTGGGAGGGGGGACTCCCTTTGAACTTTAAAAAACTAGAACATAAGAGGAAGAACCACTCTCATTATGGCCCTAAGCCTACATAACAATGCCTGAGAGTGGGTGGGATTGCTGAGCCAAAGTGCCAAAGTGAGCTGATAACACAGGAGAGAAAGATCTCCCAACATCCCTCCCTCCACCAACCCCCACGCATTTTTGTTCTGGTCAGACGATCAACTACCAGGCTTGTCAACAACTCTCAAGATCTGCTAAGGGCAGCCCCAATGTCAATGTGGTAAGTATATACTGTCACAGGGAGGGCAAAGGGAGATGCCCCACCTTGGTTAATCAGGCTTTTGAGGGCTGATACTATTCAACTGGCTGACCCAGGGGAAGCTGGGTCTTGGTGACCACAGGCAGATCTCTTTGAAGGCCAGGGCTTAATGATACCCCCAACCTGGTAAGACCACAGAAGAGAGGAAAAAGTTTGCACCAATGCCATTCATGTGTTGGATGGCTCTCAGGCTAGGACACTTCTGCTCTCTGCGCTAGCAGTTTTTAATCACCTTCTGGAAGGCAGTTTTCAGTAGTGACAAGAGGCCAGGCTTAGAAGCTGAAAAGATCTGCTCTGCCATTTACTGTGAGCCTCAATTTCCTCAACTGTAAAAAGCGAATATCACCCACTTCTCAAGCTTCTGTAAATGTTATTAAACAAGACAATGTATGTAGAGCAGCCAGCTCAGTGCTGGGCACATGGAAAGTCCTTCATACATAGCAGCTAGTACCAGGGATGTCTTTACTATCTGCCTTTTATTTGACTTGGAGAACTTTTCTCAGATTTGCTTTAAGTGAAACAGTAGAATTCTAAACAGGAAAAATCGGTACGCCTACACAGGTTTCCCTGGAACAGAAGATCACTTTCACCTACAACCCCCCACCCCACTTCTCCTACTTTCAAAGACCTACCCACTATGTTAGATGTACAGCTTCTCCTTCTCTTCCCCAACTTACCCAAGTGGAAGTCAGCCTCCCCATGACACTTACATTGTCTTTCTCTCTGCCTGGACATCATGTAGCCACGGACACTGAAGTCCAGCCGCTGCAGAGCTGGCTTCAGCCGCACGTATGCTCGATCCCACAGTCGGTGGTACACAGCAAGAGGCCACATCATGACAGTGACAACTGAGAGGAGGAGTGGGAAATAGTGGCAAAATGGAGAAGGGGTTGCATGAGGCAATCCTGACTGTCCCTTTGCTTTGTGTCCTTAGGACTTGGATACTTAGTATGGAAGCTCTCTGCTTAATTCTGCTTCCCCAGTCTCCCCTACTAGACTAGGGGGGTTGTGAAGGCCGGGACTTCTGCAGCCACCCACAGGGCCTAGTACAAGGCTCTGCACAGCAGAGGCAGGCAGGATAAGCTGCTGACAGGCCGAGTACAAACCCAGGCAGTATAGTCAGCTGCATATGGGTGTCACTGAGCCATTAATGAGGCCAAATGGTAAAAATGCCTCAGAAACTACACAACAAATCATATGAGATCCTGATATATTGCTGCTACTCAGTTCTTCCAGCCCCAAGTGAGCAGTGCATATGCCAAAAGGAAGTAACTAAATTTATAAAAATGTGCTTCAGGGGGAAAAACAAGTGCTTCAGAAGAAAACAGAACCTAGTAGAGGATCCCCTAAGAGTTTCGTTCTGTTGTTATATAATACACTGACTCCAAAAATTCCCTCCTTAGATAGGGGCAGTCAGTCCTTTTTAGCTGGCAGTACAGTATATGCTAGTGGACCCTCATCAATTTCTGTAACTGACTTGGTAAGAAAAGGACTTTGCATGTGTGCAGCCTGGTAAAGTTAAGAAGAAAGATATTTCCTGACATTAAACAGGTCATAAAAATATTATAAAAAGGTCATTTCCTGGAGAACCAAAATACAAAAGCCTTCTACCTAGACTCAGAGCTAGCTGTGGCTGGAAAGGCCACGGGTAGGGTACAGCTCATACGTGGAGGTGGATGCCGTACTTACGCATTAAGTAGGACAACAGGAGCCCAGGGATGTAGCGGCCCAAGATGGCCAATGAGGTCAGTATCCCACAGCTCAGCAAGCAGAACTAGGGGAGTCAGGAAACAGTATTAAGTTTCTGCCACATGAGAGGGACCTGGGGTGGGGATGGGCGGAGAGGTGGAGATCTCACTGAAATGATTCTTTATGATTTATGAGTCAAGTGTGGACATGTCAGAATGACAAATGTAGCCACTTTGGCATCCAATGTTGATTCTGTTTGGGGGGGATGTCCACTTCTATTCAAACTCATTTTATGTGGCTAACCACATAGGGCTTCACCTTTCATGCTGGGAAACTGGTTTGAATAGGACTTAGCCAAAAATTCTCTCCGAAAGCAGGTGTTGGTAGTGGGTTTAAGTCAAACTAAAAAAAAAAAATTAAAAAAAACCAGCAACCTACCACATGTTCAATATGACACAGTGCACACAAGCAAGCTTTCTTTCCCATCTTGGGGCAGGAAGATGGCCTCATCTAGTGGCAAGCACGCCAAACAAGGAGTCATCAAGCCCTTGCCTTAGTCCTAGTGGCTCGTCAGAAGCCTGCTCCTACAACTTCCTTTTGTCTCTATAAACACTGCAGCCTTTTCTTTCTTGAATGGGGATATGTAATAAAGGGCTGTTTCAGTTTAGCATGAACTCAACTGAGAGGCTAGAGATGAAAGTGAAAAAGGGAAGAGTCTTACCTTGCCTGGGTTTTGCTTTTTGAAAAGCAAAAGATTCCTTATGAAAATGGTCCCACTAACCCAGACTTCAGCTACATGGTGGCAGAGCTCGGGCACGCTGAGCAACTGAGGGTGCGCAAAGCCCCAGCTATGGGAGAGAGAAGGGGGAGCTGTGAAAGGTGGGTGTTGAGGGCCCCCTATCTTGCTGTGTAGGCAACTAATGCTTCCGGGTTTAAATAGGGGACTGGAGTGTTCCAGGTGCTTTAGAGGTGAAGCATGACTTTCTTCTTGGCTCACCAGGTTGAAACTTGAATTTAGGGACTAGGAGGGTAAACTTGTTCTGACAACTCCACCCAATGAGCAAGCACCCTAATCCACATGTGTAAACCTGCCACCGGCTCTGAGGCCCTTTGTGCTTAGAAACATCATCTTCCCTGTACTGGGACCACTGCAATTCACTGTGACTGCAATCCAAGGATAAAAGCAAAGCACAGTCTGACACCACTGCTGCTGAGGGGGAGGCGGCAATGGTGGAGGTGCCCCTCAGAGAGAAAACCGAACAAAACCAAAATAAACCAGAGCAGAGAAAATTCCTTGAATTAAACATATGGGGTGAATGAACTGAGAAATGAAAGCAGGAGCTGTAAGACACAGAGGAATCTTTGGCTTGCTGATGCCAAGAACCTATGTGTTTTCTGACCAGGAACTTTAAATAGCTAGAGGTCACAGAAAACACTAAATGACCTGGTATTAAAGCCAGGAAACAAATGAAGTTAGTTGCCTCTAAGTTTTCACACTGCCCTGGCATGTCAGGTTATGAGGCACTGTAATGCTGCTTCTTCAGAAACTTCTCCTGTAAAGATCAAAGGACAACAGCCATCAACATACAGCTGCCTGAACTTTAGGATTTGTTGAAATGATTATCTGGAATAGACTAGGCCTAAAGTTCTCAGCTTACACTGTGTGTCCAGAACATGGGGTTAACAACAGGTAACCAGCATATTACAACAAAAGAATCATTCAAGCAACAAAAAGGGATTTAATTAGTGTTCCATACCTCTCATTGTCTAATGCGTCGGGTCTTGGCACTACAATATTAAAACAAACACCAGCATTAGTTGGTAGGGAAAACCAAACACGAAAATGTTAGGCTGTTGGTCTGACAGCTCAAGTTTTAATAGGCTTGGGGAAAAGAAAACAGTAGTAGCCAATACAAAGGCGACACCACATTATACTGCGAGAGTTAGGGAGCTGTAGACAAGGGAATGATGGCTTATACCAGCTCATTTCTCCAGGGCAGGGGTCTGAATGGGCCATTAACCTCCTTCTAATCATTTCAGCTGAAAGCCAAAGTGGACAAGAAGGAAAATGGTCCATCCCACCTCTTGAGTGTGTCTGGGCTGCTCATACATGTCAATGTGTGCCAGGCTACCAAGGCATGCTGTAACTACTCCAACCCTAGGAATCTGCCTGCTCTCTTAAAAGAGACCCATTATCTATCCTGAATGATGTAAAGTCTTTTGACATTCATCAGCCATAAGACAGGCTGGTAGACTATATGATTTCTTGAAATCCCTCTGTGAAAAATGATGGGAATGCCCCAAAGCCAACTCTTCAGACCAAGATTAGACTGGACTAAAATGATACTCGTGAAGAGAGTGCTTCTTAGCTCAAGTAGATACATGAGACTAAATGGGCAGCTCCTGTCTGGAGGCTAGGTGAGAAGGCAAAAAGGGACAGGAGCTGGTTGAATGGACATGGGAAATCCAGGGTAGAAAGAAGGAATGTGCTGTCACATTACAGGGAGAGCAGCTTGGGTCACATAGCAATGTGTGTATAAATTTTTGTATGAGAAACTGACTTAAACTGTAAACTTTCACTTAAAGCACAATTAA